AAATATGTTTCCACAGAAGCACCACCAACTTGACTGAAGGACTCAGCTTTGGGCAACAGTGGCTTCATTTTGGAGCCAGGTGGAAGCAGCTCTGTACAATGCAGAGGTCTCTGCTTACAGAGCCCCCCACTGCCAACACCTTCCTGCTAAACTCAATACAGTGCTAGTTTATGCTTTTCCAAAACAAGAAATCAGACCTTGGTTCTCCCACGAGGGAGGAACTGCTCAGTAGCCAAGCTCTGCAAAACTGTCCCTGAAGCTATGGGATGTACTTCGTAGATTGAAGTGCGTTAAACCAATGTTATTCCTCCTGAAGACTAAGTTAACCTGAGCTAGACAAATCTAATATTTCACTAAATTCATATTTCCCAGTATTATTGTATCTTTAGACAAATGACTACGAGAAGTTTTAGTGAGGCATTATAAAAGAATCCTTACAGTATTTACTGAAAGTCAGCAATTGCCAAAGCCCTGTACTCAGTAGTTTGTAGACTTTTGCAGCTTTGGTAAAAGATGGAGGAAGGCATTCCTTTTGCATGAAAAGGAAACACAGTTTGCATGGTTTCTCTGAGGCCAGAAAGTGAGGAGGCAGAGTAAAGAGTTTAGAGTTTAGAGCCACATAATTGCATACAGTTACTTCACTGCCACAGTGCAGCATTTGGAAACCCTCTGTGCCAGAGCATGAGATCCACTAACATTCATGATTATTTCAAGAATAAGTTATTCTGGAAATTAACAGACGACATCCAAAACCACTATTTGATTTTATTTATTCATGGACAGTGTTCCTTAAGATTGGCACCACGCATCAGAAAATATTGCCATCGCTGACACATAATTCTCACCCATCTCAATTTTCATAGCAAGTTAAACTACTGAGCTTGATAATTGTGAACTGGTAAAATACTATCTTTTCCCTTAGCAAAACAGTAATCTTCATTACTATAAATACTTAGTACTTTGGTTTTAAATTTGGTTGTCTTTTTACTTAAAGAAGCTTGTTCCTATAGTTCAAGTGCTACCTCAGGAAGAAGCATGCTGAACTGATTTAGAATTATAATTCTAGTTAGTTACAAATGATTATATGTAGTTACATTCACAGTTAATATTCAGAATTACCAACATTTCCTAAATTGTGAACATCTACCTCTCTATTCACTGTACTGAAAAAATTTTCAGCTGAAAATCCTATTTTCTTTTCTTTAAATCGAAATCTTATTTTCCTTTTCCCTGCAGAGAAGGGAAGGAATTCAGGATGTTTCCTAGAGCATATTCCAAATAGTCTAAGGAATTCAGACCTTGCTTTTTCCTCAGCCCCTGGACAGAGGATCTTGTAATTCTGTTTCTCTTGAAAGAATAAGAAGGTGCAGGGAAGCAACAACATCATGGGTTTATGAAAGGAAGGAAGTGAAGTAATCATAAATTGCACACACATAAAAGCTACTAGATTCTTCATTCCAGTCACAAACTTTGTTTTGCTTGCAGAACATGAACAGTGCCTGAGTCAACAAGATTGAGCACTTCAGTGAAAATTCCTTTTTTGGTAACTAGAGAGTATGACTTGGTGCATTGTTAGTAAGTGATGCAAAGCAACAGGCAAAAAGCGCCAGTGCAAACACGGAGGCAGTAAATATGTTTCGTACCTTCGACACGTCACTGCTATTAGCCTTGACTGCAGCAGTAATGACTGCAGATTAACTGAGTTTATAAAAAGAAATATTAAAGCTAAAAACGTCAAGTAGAAAAGCTAACTTGTCTACATACCTGCATTTAAGAGCCTGTCCTTTTAGTTTTTCTGTCTCTTGCTAGATATTGTACACTATGCATATATAATTTTCTGGTAGATAATTGCTGAAGTTGTTCTCTGCTGTGTACCACATACAGCTGAAGTAAAAGTTATGCTCCCTAAGCAGTCTAGTTAAAAAAATAAAATAATAATTAAAAAAAGCAAGCTGGCTCCAACTCAGAGAATTACAAACTACTCCAGTTTGACCCAAAGCCAAAACTTTGGAAAAAAGCTGATGCAGTAACAAATATCATCACCCAAATACTAAGCCTGTGGCAAACCCCAAATTCAGAAGCAATGAAACAATTTCAGATACTTATTCTCTCATTTGAAAAAAAAAAAAAAAAATCAAAGCTGAGTTACTTTGTCAGCTGTTTGCATTTTGAATTAGAGGAAGATTCTCTGAGATGGAGACTTCGCAGCTCACATGACCTTTGGCAGCTCAAATTTTAAGTGTTAAGCTGTCAAAGCAGCAGCTGCTTAAAAACATTGCAAATTCATACAGAGTTAACATTTTAGGTCATGTTAGGTTCTCAGATAGTGCCACTGGAAACTATAGAGTCTTAGTTCTGTAACAATTGCCTCTGGCTGCAAAAGGCTGGAATTTGAGATCTGCACAATTCAGACTTGTGTAATACAAAAGCTTTTGTATTACAGATGTTAAAGAGGCAACTGACACAAAGCAATATCAAACTATGCAAGATGGTTTGGTTTGGTGAGGGTTTTTTTGTTTGTTTGGGTTTTGGATTTTTTTTTTTTAATGTTCGTGCTCCCACCATTAGCAACATAAATATTCTTAGGAGCATTACACAGAGTTTTCTTTCAAGAGGTGCATTTAATAGAATATATGGTCCCTAGCTGAAAGAAGTGATGACAAAGTCCTTACACTGCCTCAGTTAAATGTAGTTCCTTCATGGCGGTAGAAACCCTTTGGCCAACAGTTATCATGGCAACAATCATTGGAGAGAGCAGTGTCGAGAATAATACAGATTAAGTACAAAGTTTCCATTTTAATAGAACCTCTTTCTCATTACTCACAGAACAGATTGTTTTCTTCTGATAGAACCTAAACAGTGCTGCAAGCTACAGGCATTCTTCCCTGTGAGAAATTAGGAAAGAACCAGTCCTCCCCCCTGTCTGGAGCAGTTTGCCCTCCCCTCTCCTCCAGCAAACACTCAGAAGGAGATGAGAAACAACAGAAACTAGGAAAAAACCCATGTTTTTTGTTAGCTCTCTACCATTACTAAAGCGACAGGGAGAGACCTTCCAAACTTGTGTCCATCAGTCTCTTTAACACTTGGATTTAGGCTGCTTTTCATCACAATGGTGATCTGAAAGACACAGCTTCAGATGGCTAAGTCACATCCATAAAGGGAAGGCAAAAATCAGCATATGAAGATGAAATTTGCAGATAAAAGCAAGAGCCATATTCCCATATATTAGTGATGTTTGAAGTGAATAGTTGACAGCCCATCAGGTGTTCCCCTGGGCTCAGTACCAGGGCCAGTTCTTTTTAACATCTTTATCAAATAACTTCTCAGTGTTAGGTTAATGATTGGACTCAATGATCTTAAAGGTCTTTTCCAATCTAGGCAATTCTGTGATTCTGTGACCCAGCTGTCCAGTAAGAGATCCCACCAACCATGATGCTTGGTCTTTTGCGTTCACCTGCTCCTCTTTTAGCAGATTAAGTTTTCTTCTAACTGATTCATGCAGTGGAGCCACAGTTAATAGATTCCTGTCTTCAGCAGAGGCACAGCAAGCACTGTAAGGTCCACATTAGCCTTTTCCCTTTTGCTCCCACTGCTTTCTTCCCCTGCCTGACATGTTCACTCTGTCACAAGAGCTTCTCTTCCTAGGTGACACCTGCTGTTAGTTCAGACACATTTACCTGTATCTGCTGTCTCCTTAACAGCTTTCAGTCTTAAGCAAGAATGTAACAACTTAGTAAAATTCTTCATGAGCAAGCAAAGTAAAATCTCAAGACCCACACCTATGAACAACCAAAGTCAGGCTCTTTAGTTTGTATTTTGACACAAGATGACTAACACTACTCATTTTCCAGTTTTCTACACTGCTAAGGAAAAGCATGCTGGAAGCTGGTCAGGCTATCAGTTCTCTATACTGTAGAAAACATTATGGACAATGCTACCTAAGGATTAAAAAATTTGTCTTTTCATACAGTTTGTCTTGGGAGAGCATAAAACTGCAAATATGCAGTTTAGAGCGTATGTATGTTACACAAGACTAGATCATATTCCGCTGCTCTCCCCTGAACAGAGACATCAAAATCCAGCATCTCTTACATGTACATCAAGTACAACTTGGGATGTAGTGTTAATTTGTAACTGAAGAGAAAAAAAAAAGTGATAGTTTAATCCCTGAAGAGAGCTTCAGCAGTTGCTTACAAACCATATTCATAAAACTATGACAAATCATTCAGTGGTTCAGGCAGAACTGAACATCAGATCCATCAAAGAAATATAAGGTTCTTCATCTGGAAAAATGAGCTAAACTAACCTAAGCTTTCTGTAGTTTTGAAGAACAATATAAAGAGATATAATGAAATGGGTTTACTTGTTTTAAGGGAAGTAAGGCTAAATTTTAAGCTTCTGCTTAGTAGTTGCACTTTCTCCAATTAGACTTCATGAGAATAGTCAGCCACTGAACCAGGATTCAGTTGTATTGTATAGTTCCATTGTTAGTAGGAGTAACTTAGTACACTTCACCTTTTTGCCAGTTGGGCACTAATACCAGCACTGCTAAGGATTAAAACCAAAAAACAACAGCCTCCACTCCACCCCTCAGTCTTACAGCTCAGTCTGTTCAGAAGGCAAGTAGGCAGCCGTGAAAAAAAAATACAAAACCACCAGACTGTATTTTGAACAGTGCAAGAAATATTCCATTCATTACAAAGCATGCAGGTTTCCAAATGTACTTAGTATCCATTTTGAGTTGCTGGAGTAAAAATCTGCCCTCTCGCCTTTTGCTCAGTTTTCAGATATTAGGCACCCATCCTTTCGCTGTGTTAAGAGCCTGTGAACACCAAACACTTATTTTATGACTAAGGCCTACAAGCATTCCCAAATGGGAAAAAGAAAAATGTTAGTTCACATCAGTGGACATCCCTCTACTATAACATCATTACAATCAAACTGGGCAAGAGAATGTCTTTAAGCAAAAGGATCCGATATCAGAAGTGCAGCTGTGCTCACTATTCCCGCCTTGATCTTGTACACGTGCCATCTTCATCATATTCACCCATCAACTGCAACATATATGTTCCAGTATAGAGAAGAAACTGTCCAGTTATCTGTGCTGCATGAGATATTAGCTGAAGCACTTTCCTAGAAGAAAAGCCATTTGTTTAAAACAAATAAATCATGAGCAAGATGACATTACTTCTTTCTCCCCACCCACAACACCTTTAGGATGAATAATGCAGATATATTTAAGAACTCTCTCATTCCTTCTCACTTCTGAGAAGCTGATCATTTTGGTACCTTCTTTAGAAAAAACACTTCCGTGGCCATTGATTAACAGAAAACTACTGACCAGAACACATATTTAACAAAGGAGGCTGTCATCCTGCCAGGTATTTATAGGCCTCCTGCAAAGACAAACTACTCAAACTACCAGAGCACCACTGCAGACAGCTTTGCCTGGGAGCCTAGCAACATTCCTGCAGCATGAATCCACCTTGCATCTCACCTTTAGGCCATTCACTAACACAACACTGCATGTGTCTCCAAGCTAAGATCAAACTTGATTAGATCTGCAGCTGAGCAATCACATTACAGTGGATGCCCAACAGCAAAACAGTTGAAGCCAGGAAAATTAATGCTGTCCAAGCTGCAAGCCTTAAAAACCTCTCAGTTCACAACTATTTTTTTTTAAGATTTAGTGAGTATCAGCATTCAAATATATAATTCAGTGTGAGAATCAGTACAGATCCATAAACTATGATTGGATAAGCAGCAGTGGTCTACAATATAAATTGTGGATCACTACAGGATCGCGGGGGAGAAGACATCATCATATTTGAATGGTCGTTTATTCAACTTAATTATTGCTGTGTTTTCCTTCAGTTCTCCAAGAAACAACAGGAACATCAATATTAAGAGCTATATTCAAGTTTCAGCCCCCAAAAGTTAAGTACATCCTCACAAGTATGAAGCTGAGGCACTGGGGAAGTGGTACACAAGAATTGAGAACATTCCAAAACTGGAAAGGGACCAGTTTCTGAAGATACAGAAACCAGACCAGCCTTCCTCTTCTGCAAAAAAGGGGGAAGATTTTCTGAATTCCTGTCTCAGAAAACATGCAGCTGTGAACCCTCTGGTATTATTCACTTCTCCTTTGAGCTCTAGCAGAGGAGGCAATGTCTTCTTCATACAAATTCATTTTTGTCTGCTATGATGAAAGAAAGTTTGCAATCAAAATCCAATGCTTCAAAAGAGTAAAATACCCTATGTTCAGAGGCTGGGAAGCGTTCAAAAAACACTGTACCCTTATTCATGCTCCCTACACATATGCTATTGCAGTAGGTCCTTCCCTTGACCAGACAGTATAGACCAAGGAGCTTTACAGCTGCACCTGGTACCAAGTTTTTGAGCAGCTGCAGTGTGTCACTTGCACATGAAAGCAGTTGTTACTTAAGCCATGGAGCAAGTTATTTGTTGAACCGGACATTTGATCCTTCTGTTGGACGCTACCGGGAAAACCGTTGGGGAAATGCACTAACAAGACCTGGCAGGCTTCAAGCCTCTCCCAGTGCTGAACAACTGCAGCATTTTAAAGTCCCTTCCCTTCACACTCCACAGGTGGGCTCAGAGAGGGGGCATCAGAGTTAGCAGTCTGGAAATCGTTAGCGGAGGGACTACTCCAAGAACTTAACGTTGTCTGCCTCCAATTTCAACAGCGAGTTGAGGCAGGCTGTCTCACTGTTCTGTTCAAGACTACCAAAGATTACCTCTTCTGTCACCCCTGTCCTTTGCTAACAGCAGACGGTTTTCTCACCCTGACACTGGCACTTCCCTTACGGCTCAACTCAATAACCTAACAGTGATTCCAGAAGAATTCCACAGCTACTTCAGCTGTTTGCCAGCTTCTTTCTCACCAGCTGCCCCATGTTGGCAGGGAGGCGGAATTGTCACTTCAAACTCTCCTTAGCAGTGCAAGTTCCAGTGCTGATACTCATCTCCACAGCAAACTGTCAGAAATTAGAGTTTGTTCTGGCTCAAGAGACTTAAACAGGAACTGGAGGAGTGCAGCTGTTCAGGGGTAAATCTTTGCTTTGAAGAAACCCTAATGAAGCCAGTGCTACAGGTGGCCATAGCATATAGCTGGATAATCTCTGTAGCATAATGAGAGTGGAACCTCATCTATAATCATACCAGCTGTAGCCTAAAAGATTAAGCAAGAGACCACCTAAGTAGAGTGGGAGAGTTAGTCAGATTGGAAGATAGGGAACAAGATTAACATTACAGTGCTTAATACCTGCATCATGAGACAAGGGACTATTTGAAGACTTCATACTAAAGACTACAAGTTGCTCAGGGGAAGTGAAAACCTCACTTACAGCATATACATCTGTCTGTTATGTACAGAGCAGATCTAGTCCTCAAGTAATAAAAAGCAGCAACATTGCATCATTGTGTCTCAATCAGAACTTGAAAGAAATTCAGGGCTGCAGCTTAAACAGCTGTCAAAGTATGGAGTCTCTTCAGACATCTTCAAAGAAGTTTCCTTCAACCAGAGCAGAACACGACTGGTTTTGACAAGGCACAGACTTCCAACAAACTTTCAATAGAAAGCAGTGGACAGGACAGGTATTCTTTTGCCTCCGCATAAGACAGCATTTCCCAAAAAGCCAGTCCTACCAAACTCACAACCCAGCACAGATGAGTCCTGCAGGAGACTGTTCTTTGTTAGGCTCCATTAGTTTCCTCAGAGACCAGGCTTAAAAACAATGGCATCACAATCTTAACTACAGATGACAAATTCATATCAAGATAGCAGAGAGTGTAATATCTCTTCTATTTTCCTCTGCCTCCATGTAGTCAGGTGGTGAATTTAACAGCCAAGTATTGTAAAGTCTGAGCAAGCTTTAAGACCCCTGCCATTAGATCTCAAATTCCTCTCATTTCATCCCCTTGAAGCTCCCCTTCAAAGTCAGATGCTTCTTCCTCAGCCTCCTGCATTCTTCAAACAAGTCAAAGAAATCTGGGGAAATCCCAGGAAAACAAAGAGATTCTATCTACATCCTTGCAAGATAAGTTGATAAGATTTTTGCCTTGGAGAAATCTAAGATTCCACAATAAAAGGCTATAGTAAGTTTTCACAAGTCAGCTGTCCAGCTTACAAAGGAAGATTCAGCATATTGGTCATATATTCATAGAAATAATAAGCTCATTAATAGAAATAATAGAAATTAATAGCAGTAATTAGAAATTAATTAATAGAAATAATAGAATTAATATAAATAATAAGCTTATGAATACACTTGCTTCACAGAACCAATAAGCATTTTTACATTAATGCATACTACTGATCAGTAGTGGAAACACACTTACCGCAATATGCTTTTTGCTCCCATACACTTGATATCATATGAGATAGAGTAGATCTCATAGAAGGTCGCCTTGATGTTTAGACAGCCAATAAAATCCTTAGGGTTCAGCTTGTACAGATCAAATGTGATGTTTGCTACTCCCATTTTCTTCTTTTGTCTTACAGTGGCAACCGCATTTCTCATCTAATTTTAAAAGAGGAAGAGAGTTTTTGTACCATGAGCAAGGAAACTACAGCAACACAATCACTGATAGAGCAGCTTTTTAGAAGCAACTTGCTTATTCCAGTCTTGGAGCCAGTTCTCAATCAATTCTAAACTGGAATTAAAAGCATTAGCAGAGAAAAGCAAGTCTATAGCTTAAGTAATTTTGTTCAAGTCCTGACCAGCCTTCTGCAGCTATTCCAGATGTTCTAGTGACATACCACCTCCCAAATCTTTCTTTCCTGTAATAGAGCTTCTTCTTCAGAGTATACTGAAGTCACAGCTAATGTCACTGGGCAGTGTTCTTGTCATTTAGTTATCCTGCTATGTTCCAGCTGCTAGCTGAGGCAGCAGTTAGTCCACACTGAAACAGGCCACCAAATAACCAGGATTACATTGGGTCCTTCCATTTAGGAAGGAATGCAATACTAATGAAAACTTTTAGAGATAGCTGCAAAGGTGACATCTGTGAAAAGTTAGGTCCTCATTTCAAATCCTGGCTCATAACAAAAAGAGTGACATGGGGAGGGAACCAGTACTGATTAGGCCTAGGGTTTAATACTGAGTTAAGAGAAAAAGCAAAGGAGGAGGAGTGTATAAAGTCATCTTCCACCTTAATTCCACCCTCTTTATTGAAAGCAGCCCTTGTCTGCTTCGGAGCTGACAGTGATGCTTTTAGGATGGCTGCTTCAAGAAAAAAAATGAAAACAGTGTAAGGGAGACATCTTTATTTACAGAGACATCTAGTGGATACATGAGATACTCTGCTCAGCACATTCCGCTGAAGGTTAACAACTTGCGCAGGCGGCAAGCTGGATTCTGCATGCTAAATGAAGCAATAAAGTTGTGTAAGACTGGGCTTTTTTTGTACTTGTCACCCCAGCATTCAGACAGTGCAATGATAAGCCAGACCAAGTTGAACACTTTAGTATATCATTAGCCAGCAATTTTATGCCTGTTTTATTTCGATAGCCTCTGAGTTTCAGCAACAGGGCCCCCTGTCAACAACGGTTTTGGACATGTACAAGTAGTTGGTATGCTTGGTAGCATATCCTCCCCACACCCCCATTAGCACCCAGAATATTTGGATAAAGCATGACAGAGCTACATCCCAGATAATCTGTGAAGCTGTAGTAGTCCTGCTGTCATTCAGCACATCCTGAAGAGAGGCCGCATACAAGCTTGTCCTGCTGCCATGCCAGACAGGATACAGGGCAGAGAGGAAAGGTGTAAGGCAGAGTCACACCCTGGCTACAACTTCTTTCCTGCTCTTGGGGGTCATGGCCCAGATGCATCAGATTGATAAGCCAGTGAGGTGTCTTGGGGAAAGATGTATAAACTGCACCCACTGCAACAGGAGACTGAGAAAATGAGTCCACATGATCAAGCCATCCATGTACAAAGAGAAGAATGGTAGGCTTGTTTACAACTCCTCAGCTAGCTCTGCAGCTGGTAGAAGAAATTTGATGCTAGCTTTCTAGTAACAACAATTTCATGGAAAGGCAATTAGGAGTTGAACTCTTATCTTATTAATGTACAGATGACTATTTCCTCACTAAACCACAAACTGAATGCTGAGGTGATACAATTAGAAAGCCAAAGCTAGCCAATCATAATAGTTCTTAAAATATCTTGAAGCATGTAGACTAACATTAGATTTTTATGACAACTTTTAGCTTTTTGCAAGATTAAATACAAGCATTTTTCTAACCTTAACTAAACCATCACTGCATTCAAAAGGCAAAACTTGGTTTACATTACTTAATTTGGGGCACTTTTTCCCATCTTTAAAAAGTAACATTTAAAGACACTGTATTTTAACTTCATGTAGTCAAAGTCCTAATTTTCTTTGTGTGACAAAAAGACATAAGAACAAAGTTATTTCTGAGGCTCTTCAAAAGCAAGAGATTTCCTCTACAATTATTTTTCAGTCGTAATGTTTCATTTCAATTCTTGGCAGATCTTTGTCAACAGTTCTACGTCCAAGCAAAGGACAAAAAAATCAGCCAAACAAAATCAACCACACAAAACCAATCAAACAAAACCCACCAACCTTAATTTGTCATCCAGGAAGGCTCAACAAGGAGCTGATGCCTTGCTTTCTTTAGAAGAAGTTTTCTTCCCCTTCCCCCTACTTTCCAATAATTTTAGTAGCCACATACATTCTCCCATTCACTTCTATTCAAATGAGAGACAGATAGTCAACACTTACTTGTGTCCATTTCTGTCCTTTTTCCAGAATCATGAAGTGTGTATTGTCATCCAGGGAATTGAAGAACTCTTCTGTGTCTACAACCGTTCCATCTTCCTCCAAAACCAGAGTAACTATTCCAGCAGATATAAGGAAGGCATCCAAAGTCTGAAAAAAAACCAACAACCCCAACACATTAGATTTTAGCATTCAAAAAAGGACCCATCATTTAATGCCAAGACTTGCTTATCTGACATATTCTCCTGAATTTCCCCAGTAATGATTTTTCAAAGAGCCTATGGGTTGCCTTTCTGCAATACTTGCACTTCACCAAGTTTCAGGCAGAGCAGGAAATGCTGATGAGCTCTTGCAGACTGCTTGCAACAATTCCCTTCCGGCTGCTTCGGGAGGCATTTGACACACGAAAAGGTCGCCCTGCAGGCATGAGAGGAGGGAACAGGGTCTGTTTTGTTACTGCTCCCATAGATGCTCCCATGGATACCAAAGATCTAAGACGAACAAAAATTCAGCATTCAGTCATGTCAAGTACTGTGAGAGGAAGTATTGTTGAGCTCAATGATGTGAGCACATTATATAAGTAATTCTCAGGTAAAATTACACTTGTGGAGCCTGCTTTCAAACTAAACACTACATAGCCCTACAGATACATTGTCTCTGAGCTTTCTCTTGCCAGTGACATTTGAAAACACTTCTAAAATTAAAAACATTTCAAGCAGATGTGAGCCACCTGTAGCTCAGCTGATGCCAAGAATCACAGCTACAATGAGGCTGGAAGGCTTTAACATTGAATTAGAAAGGCAGTAGCTTTTACTGCATTCAGCCACTTAGATCATTCTCTCTACCTGCAAGATAAATACTCAATGAGATAATACACAAGACTACTTTCAATTAATTATTTAAGATATGAGTTTGCTTTAGGAAGATTGAATGTATTATCTATGTTCAAAATACATAGCATAACACAAATGGAGCTTTTCAAAATAGTTATGACTGACATCCAAACAGCCAAGTCATTTATCTTGCAAATAATACCTACAGCCTATGAAACTTCATATAATTTTGAGGAAAAAAAAATCATACAGTAAGACTCGTTTGTGCCCTAATGTATCAAAAAGAGTCATAGATGCATAGCCTGCTCCTGCGGGCTAACAGAGAGGCTGAAAGAATTCAAACACTTCTAGCAAGAGGTTTTAAATTTTCCAAGGCAATCACGTTTTAACAGTGACCGTTCAGGTTCCCTTAGGTAAACTGAGCACAAAACACCGGTAACTGCCTGCTCCTCACCAAGGTACAGACCTACTCCCATCTGCATCTAAAGACAGCTATTTGCTGCCAAAAACCATCATGCATGACCTCTAGAAAGAGTTGATCTCTAACAAGTATTTTGCTCCTTAATACTGGGTTGCACGGGCAGGGAGTGGTGTGTATGTTAGAAAGGAATGTATTCTCGTTTTGTTCTCCCACATAGGTGTAAAAGGTTGGCTTTATGTAGGAAAATATGTTCTCAGACACTTTCACAGAGGGGAAGTGAACTGGCAATCTCTTTCTACAGCCAGAGTGAATACAGGAATTCCTAAAACAGTGATGAAATGGTATAAAGTTACTCAACTAATGATGTCCCGGTCACACCTTTTGTGCAAGTCCACATCGACCAGGGAGAATAACTATCTTTTCCAAACCTCTTATCTGGTCTTTAAGGATATTTTTGGGATGCATAGAAAGTATTTTTTTGTGACTGGCCAGACAAAATTCCAGCAATTCATGTGTTTCATTCTCTCATTCTGAACTCCTGTTTTACAGGGCTTTGGGCTATGCTTTTCCTTTGTACACCAAAGTTTACCTTCCTCAGAAACTCCTCAGCATTATTAGAGCTTTTATTTTTTTTAAAGATAGGTGTGAGCATGATGTTCAACAATTTTATTCTAGCTCAATCAAATACCTTCTTGGTAGTGCTGCCTAAGCACTAGATCCCTTGCTTTCAACTGCTTGCATACACACACGGCTGGTGGAAATCTCTCCTGTCCCTGTAACAAAGCTGGTAAGGATGAGCAACCAGTATGGTTTTCAAGAGACTGGCACTGTTTCAAATTAAAGAGCTAAAAAGCACTTTGCTCTTGGAGAAGGGTCAAGATTAGGGAGGAGGACAAAGTGATAGAGTAGCACTGACAAAGGCATTGAAGCTCTACAGAAGGGAAGTGTGTTAGGACAGGGCGTGTCTGTTCATTTCGTCACTAAATTAATAGTCCCACAGTCACACCACTGGTATGTGGGCAGTTCCCATTCTGAATCACTCAGAGTCTTTTCCTTAGATATGAGGATATGCTCATTTACCTCTGGGCTGGTGATTCTCCAGGGCAGCCTGATGTCAGAAAGCACAACACTCAGGATTCAAGAGACAGCTCTTTCAGAGCTAGTTACATCCCATTCCCCCACACATATTTGAAAATTAGCATGTAGAATAGTTACCCAAGTAGTATGTATGACAGTACTGCCAAGCTGGTTTGTGTGGGGTTTTTTTTGGTTGGTTGTTGGGGGTTTTTTTGCAAGGACAGTAAATACCAGTCTGTTTAACAGTTTTCTTTCCAGTTAGTTAAGCCAAGTTGTCATTTACAAAAGACAAAGCATAAGAAAAAAAAGCCAAAACATACATCTTGATACAGAAGGAAGAACATTAGGGGCACGTTGAGCTAACAGGGATTACCTCACGTATTGGTAAAGCCAACTATACAAGCCATATTTTGCAGATCTGAGCAGACATTTCTTCAGGATTTAGGATCAATCACCTCACACTGGTGCCTAGTTCTATCAGATGTAAAAGAGAAAAAAAACCTCAAACATTAATAAAGCAGGACTTTAATTAGCTTCACCAGACAATCACTTGACAAGGAATCAAAATCTCAGGGAGTTATTTAACATTGATGTCATTTCATCTACATTTCAATAAAACCAGTTGACATAATCTGCTATAAGTCTGCTATATTCTGGGCTCTGGTGTAGGCTGAAATTTCAGTTAATGGAAGTACCAGGAAGCAAAAGCCAGAGTGATTAAAAAACCCAAACAAACTACAGAACAGACAGAGTGTGAAACCTTCGATTTTTGTGCCTATTGCCAAAAACTTGGGTTTAATTTATTTCCCCTAACAGATAAAGGAAACCTCCTCAAACAGGCCAGCCTACATACAGGGCTCTTAGAAAGATCCGGTTTTGCTGCAGCTCTCCTCAGAAACTAGGCAAACTGACTCCTGCTGCAGGGAATTGCTCCACTAGATTTGAGTTATCAAAAATAATTTTTTATTAAAAGCTGATCAAGCTAAGTCAGGAAACAAGTGGTGGAAAGGAAAGGAACATATGAAGGTGCAGTCAGTTTTATTAGAAAGTTGAGTGAAATGTTAGATACAGAAAACTCTACTACTGTTTTATTATTCTTTAAGGGCAAAAGGGTTAAGTCCTAGCTCTTCCCTAAAGGAGAGGGGGATCCTATCTCAGTGGAAAACAAAAACATAATTGAAAAAGCAAATAACTTCAAACTAAAGCACCTTGTGCAGTTTGTTTTATATAACTACAGCCTGCTAGAGGGACTCGCAGAATGCTTCAAGTATTCAGTGTAGTGTTGAGGCTGGTGGGATGGATTAATTAATACCTCTTTTTAGGAGAACCTGGTGATTAAAAGCCTGCCTCGAGCCCTGTACACATATTTCACTCTATCTTTGTGTGCAATATGGCTTGTATGTTTGTATAAGAATGTGGTGCAATGGTCTTCAGTGTCACTCTGAAAAGTCATTGTTGCACAAGTGGCTTCAGAATATGGTACGGTTCGATTTTTAGGTTAGAGTTCACAGACAAATGACCACTGCAGTAACAGCAAAGCAAGAAGAAAAAAAAGTCAGAAATCAGTCAGGAGACTTCAGGTTCGACCAGATTACGGATAAGCTTTTTTTGCTCAAGCATAAACTGTACAGATAGCAGAACTGTATTTCTGAGTAGTATGCAGAACTATCCATTGCTGATGTGGTCAGTACACCTGCAGAGCAGAGAGGCCAGGAGTTGTGCTCATGCCACTGGGTCCCACACCAAAGCTCCACATCTCACACATAAGCTCTGTGTACACAAGACGGC